AAAGATATCTTAGCATTGTTTTTGCCATTGCTTTTTTTAAGGTATCAAGTCAGTTTGAGGTTATACACTCTTTTAAGATATCTCAGCATTGGTTTTGTCATAGCTTTTCTGACAGTATCAAGTCAGTTAGAGGATTTACACTCTTTATATTATAGATATCTAAGGATTGTTTTTGCCATAGCTTTTCATGCAGTATCAAATCAGTTGGAGGATATACACTCTTTATAGATATCTCAGCATCGTTTTTGCCATAACGTGTCTTGTTGTATCAAGTCAGATAAAGGATATACACTGTTTATAGATATCTCGGCATTGTTTTTTCTGCCATAGATTTTCTAGCAGTATCAATTCAGTTGGAGGATATACACTCTTTATAGATACCTCAGCATTGTTTTTGCCATAACGTGTCTTGTAGTATCAAGTCAGTTGGAGGATATACACTCTTTATATATATCTCAGCATTGTTTTTGTCATCACGTGTCTTGAAGTATCAAGTCAGTTGGAGAATATACACTCTTTATAGATACTTATAATAATATAAAGAGTGTATTTTTGCCATAGATTTTCTTTTAGTATCAAGTCAGTTGGAGGATATACACTCTTTATAGATCTCTCAACGTCGTTTTTGCCATAGATGTTCTTGTAGTATCAAGTCAGTTGGAGGATATGCACTCTCCATAGATATTCGGCATTGTTTTAGAAGTTACAATGTAGATTATATGTAAGTTATGCACTTGCATATAATATAGCTTATGTCATCTTAATTTAACATTATGACAATTGTTTTAGTTGCACAGTAGATATAATCAAGTATCCTTAAGTGTTTTCTTTTAAAAGCACTTTTTTTACTTGTATCTGAAACCGAAAGAAATCTCCTTATATGGAAATATTTAATAATTTTAACAGTGAATTGGTATAAAAGAACAGATCTTTATTTTCCTTGTTTCATGTAATTCGTAAAAATGTGCATAACCATTTGTACGGTAAGTCTATGTTTTATCGTTTTCTTTTCAAATCGTCCTAAACATGCATAAACTATTTGCCACTGGACGTTAAGCAACCAACAATCAATCCCTTTTCATAAATCTGAACAGTTTAATTTGATTATAAAATAAGTACACAATGGATGATTTTCTTAAAAGTTACCTATGTTTTAGGTAGAGTAATGGGTAATTGGATCAAAGTTTTAGATAATATATAAAAGTGATTCACGATTATTTAGATTCTCAACATATCATTGTTTTTTTTTAAATATGACTTAAATGCATTATATATAACAAAGATGACATTCTATCATTAAAAAATTTCATATTATAATAAGCTATTCAAACTAGTCTTATCTTTAGGTCTCTCCTGCTATCGCTTTTGCCATAGCTTTTCTTGCAGTATCAAGTCAGTTGGAGGATATACACTCTTTATAGATATCTCAGCATCGTTTTTGCTATAGCTTTTCATGCAGTATCAAGTCAGTTGGAGGATATACACTCTTTATAGATATCTGAGCATTGTTTTTTCTGCCATAGATTTTCTTGTAGTATTAAGTCAGTTGGAAGATATAGACTCTTTATAGATATCTGAGCATTGTTTTTTGCCATATATTTTCCTGCAGTATAAAGTCAGTTGGAGGATATACACTCTTTATAGATATCTGAGCAGTGTTTTTTCTGCCATAGATTTTCTTACAGTATTAAGTCAGTTGGAAGATATACAGTCTTTATAGATATCTGAGCATCGTATTTTGCCATAGATTTTCTTGCAGTATCAAGTCAGTTGGATGATATACCCTCTTTACAGATATCTTATCATTTTTTTTTTGCTATAGATTTTCCTGCAGTATCAAGTCAGTTGGATGATATACACTCAGTAAAGATAACTCAGCATTGTTTTTGCCATAGATTTTCTTGCAGTATCAAGTCAGCTTGATGATATACACTCTTTATAGATATCTGAGCATTGTTTTTGCCATAGATTTTCTTGCAGTATCAAGTCAGTTGGATGATATACACTCTTTACAGATATCTTATCATTTTTTTTTTGCTATAGATTTTCCTGCAGTATCAAGTCAGTTGGATGATATACACTCAGTAAAGATAACTCAGCATTGTTTTTGCCATAGATTTTCTTGCAGTATCAAGTCAGCTTGATGATATACACTCTTTATAGATATCTGAGCATTGTTTTTGCCATAGATTTTCTTGCAGTATCAGTCAGTTAGAGAATATACACTCTTTATAAATATTACAGAATCGTTTTTTCTATAGCTTTTCTTGCAGTATCAAGTCAGTTGGAGAATATACACTCTTTATATTATAGATATCTAAGCATTGTTTTTGCCATAACTTTTCTTGCAGTATCAAGTCAGTTGGAGGATATACACTCTTTATAGATATCTGAGCATTGTTTTTTCTGCCATAGATTTTCTTGCAGTATTAAGTCAGTTGGAGGACATACACTCTTTATATTATAGATATCTAAGCATTGTTTTTGCCATAGCTTTTCATGCAATATCAAGTCAGTTTGGGGATATGCAGTCTTTATGGATATCTCAGCATCGCTTCTGCCATAGCTTTTCTTGCAGTATCAAGTCAGTTGGAGGATATACATTCTTTATAGATATCTGAGCATTGTTTTTTTCTGCCATAGATTTTCTTGCAGTATTAAGTCAGTTGGAGGATATACCCTCTTTATATTATAGATATCTAAGCATTGTTTTTACCATAGCTTTTCTTGCAATATCAAGTCCGTTTGGGGATATACAGTCTTTATGGATACTTCAGCATCGCTTTTGCCATAGCTTTTTTTGCAGTATCAAGTCAGTTGGAGGATATACACTCTTTATAGATATCTCAGCATCGTTTTTGCTATAGCTTTTCTTGCAGTATCAAGTCTGTTGGAGGATATACACTCCTTATAGATATCTGAGCATTGTTTTTTCTGCCAAAGATTTTCTTGCAGTATTAAGTCAGTTGGAAGATATAGACTCTTTATAGATATCTGAGCATTGTTTTTTGCCATAGATTTTCCTGCAGTATCAAGTCAGTTGGAGGATATACACTCTTTATAGACATCTCAGCATTGTTTTGCCACAGTTTTACTTGCAGTATCAAGTCTGTTGGAGAAAACTCACTGTTTATAGATATCTCAGCATCGTTTTTGCAATATGTTTTATTACAGTATAAAGTCAGTTCGAGGATATACACTCTTTATACGTATTTCAGCATCGTTTTTCCCATAGCTATTCTTGCAGTATCAAGTCTGTCGGAGAAGACTCACTGTTTATAGATATCTCAGCATCGTTTTTGCCATATGTTTTCTTGCAGTATCAATTCAGATGGAGAATATACACTCTTTATAGATATTTCAGAATCGTTTTTTTCCCATAGCTTTTCGTGCAGTATGAAGTCAGTTGGAGGATATACACTCTTTAATGATAGCTCAGAATCGTTTTTGCCATATCTTTTCTTGCAGTATCAAGTCAGTTGGAAGATATACACTCTTTATAAATATCTCAACATCATTTTGTCATAGCTTTTCTTGCAATATCAAGTCAGTTGGAAGATATACACTCTTTATATTATGGATATCTACGAATTGTTTTTGACATAGCTTTTCTTGCAATATATAGTCAGTTGGGGGAAACACACTCTTTATGGATATCTCAGCATTGTTTTTGCCATAGCTTTTCTTGCAGTATCAAGTAGGTTGGAGGATATACACTCTTTAAAGATATCTTAGAATTGTTTTTGCCATTGTTTTTCTTAAGGTATCAAGTCAGTTGGAGGTTTTACACTCTTTAAAGATATCTCAGCATTGGTTTTGTCATAGCTTTTCTGACAGTATCAAGTCAGTTGGAGGATATACACACTTTATATTATAGATATCTAAGCATTGTTTTTGCCTTAGCTTTTCATGCAGTATCAAGTCAGTTGGAGGATATACACTCTTTATAGATACCTCACTTGTTTTTGCCATAACGTGTCTTGTAGTATCAAGTCAGTTGGAGGATATACACTATTTATAGATACTTATAATAATATAAAGAATGTATTTTTGCCATAGATTTTCTTTAAGTATCAAGTCAGTTGGAGGATATACACTCTTTATAGAACTCTGAGCATCGTTTTTGCCATAGATGTTCTTGTAGTATCAAGTCAGTTGGAGGATATGCACTCTCTATAGATATCTCGGCATTGTTTTAGAAGTTACAATGTAGATTACATGTACATGTAAGTTATGTAAGTTATGCACTTGCATATAATATAGCTTATGTCATCATAATTTAACATTATGACAATTGTTTTAGTTACACAATAGATATAATCAAATATCATTATCTGATTTTTTTTAAAAGCACTTAATTTACTTGTATCTGAAACCGAAAAAAATCTCCTTATATGGAAATATTTAATAATTTTAACAGTGAATTGGTATAAAAGAACAGATCTTTTTTTTCCTTGTTTCATGTAATTCGTTAAAATGTGCATAACCATTTGTACGGTAAGTCTATGTTTTATCGTTTCCTTTTTCAAATCGTCCTAAACATGCATGAACTATTTGCCACTGGACGTTAAGTCTTAACAGTTTAATCTGATTATTAATTAAGTACACAATGGATGATTTTCATAAAAGTTATCTATATTTTAGGTAGAGTAATGGGTAATTGGATCAAAGTTTTAGCTGATATAAAAGTGATTCACGATTATCTGGATTCTCAACAGATCATTGGTTTTTGGAATATGACTTAAATGCATTATATATAACAAAGATGACATTCTATCATTTAAAAATTTCATATTATAATAAGCTATTCAAACTTGTCTTATCTTTAGGTCTCTCCTGCTTCTTAGATTAAGAATCACTGAAAAGAATAATATAGCATGCCTTTAGAAACCTTTTTGTATAAATTGCAAAATGATCTTTAAATAAAAATAAGGAGCTGTGGTATAATTGCCAATGAAACAACTATCCACCACAGCTCATATGAAGTGGATGTTAGCAATTATAAACAACAGTATGGCCTTCAACAATTAGATTCACAATAATTGGTGTTCTTCATGCATTTCACTTTAAAGATGTGTCAAAATTTTCAAAATTTTCTAACTTTTTCATTCCGATTTTTGCATATTGTATCAAGGATTAGGACGATTAAAGAGTATGAAGCTTTTTAACTCGTGAAGTGACAATTCTGAAGGTTCGAAAAACGTGTATTGTTCCAAATGTTAACAATGAACTAATTGCAATCCGATTAGCCATATTTAGTCTGCTTACGTTTTGAAGTAATTATTGCGGCTCGTACTTTTAAAATAAAATGAATGGGAATGAGGAATGTTTTGATTGTGTAGACTTTTCATTATAAAAGACCCTTCGTACAGTACAATATACATAACAAGCCCAGTTTACACTTAATTTATAAAGGGACGTAACACCACTACTAACCGTGTATGAAATAAGCCCGCCTCCCTACTAACCTAATATGGAATATACACGGTCTCCACGCGGACGCTTTTAACCAATCATATTCCGAGAAATGTATAGGAGGTAAGATAAATTAATATACTAACTCGAATTAATTCTGCGCCCACTAGCCTTTCGAACGACTGACATTATTCGGGTTAAGATTATACATTATATTCTTTTGTATGAGTACAATGAATACATCATGGTATGTTATTATATTATAAAAGATTTTATTAATTTCCGGGTTTTTTTTTCTTTCGAATTCACATATTAATGATAAATTGTATATGGTTACAATGCATGAATCTTAAAATATAGAATAAATGTGTATCCTCATGCTCCATTTCTGTTTTCTTTTTAGACATCGTTTAAATGAAATTTAAAAATTTGATCAAAAGAAAGAGTTATCATGAATGCTTCGGAATCACCAATTACTTTGGAGACTTTGAATACGGAGGAAATGATGGAGCGTATTCCGACACTCGTTTATTTATCATTGGTCATGATTATCGGGATACCTGGGAATGCTTTGGTAATTCTAATATATTTCGGATCGTTATGGAAACTCGAAGGATCACACTGGACTTTTATCCGTACCATTACTATTGTAGATTTCCTAATATGCATAATAATTATTCCTTTTGAATTTTACCAGCAGACACACCAATTAACATTTTATGCAGAAAGCGCATGCAAGTCGTTCAAAGTAATAAGTGTTCATCTATCTGCAATGGCTTCACTGTTGCTAGTAATGATGTCCGCTAATAGAATGTACAGAATTTGGTGGCCATTAAAAGTTCCGTTATCATCACGTCAAGCTTTGGTTAGTGTCATTATTCTTGGGATTTTTGTAACAGCCGTTTCCTGGCCTGAAGGTAAATTAAGTGGAATAAACCTAAAACAACGAAAACACAATATAACTGGGTATGACTGCGGTTTGGAAGACAGATATAAGCGCACAATATATCCCTTCGCTTATAGTGTTGTGTTACTTGTAGGGTTTGTTTTATGTGTCTCTTCATTAATAACGATGTATGCGATCATATGGAATAAACTCCGAAAGAAAGACTATTTCAGGTCAACAAGTTCTGCACATTCGCAAATAGAAATCCCTGTTGAGTCTAGTGTACAAACAGTTGTTTTAGAAGATGAAAGTAGTGTTTCAAATAATAAAACTGTCAGTCAGAAAATTAAAGGTAAATTTTCCGGCTCTAGTACAAAATCTCTTCAAAGACAAAGGAACACTTCGCAAAGAAATCGAGAATCCAGAAAAGTGACAAAAATTGCATTTGTTATAAGCATTGCCTTCATTTTAAGCTATTTACCATTTATAACAGTGAAAATGGTCTCTTCCCTTTCAAAAGGTCAGTACATGTCAGATAGTTTCATCGAAGCAATAATTCCTATCTTGTCCAGATGTTTTCTACTTAACAATATTATAAATCCATTTGTGTATGTTTGCTTAGATCAGACATTCCTTATACAATGTAAAAGAGTATTATTATGTAGACACAGGTGTAATTTGTATTAAAAGTTGCCAATTTTCCCCAAAGTACGATACTTGTACTTTTAATGTTTACTGAAAACGTGTAAATGTTTTCTCTTATACATCCACCACCTAAATACTTTCGCACACGTACATGTAAGGCTAACCATTATTATGTGAAACAGTACCACGAATAGTTGGACTATTTATTAGCTCTATAATTGTCAAATAGAAACTCTTTGTTGATTTTTTAGTTTATGGAATGAAGCTTTCTTAGTTCAAAATAGAGATAAAGATGTTTTTGATGAAGTTTACATTTTACTATGACTTGATATTCCAATAAGAAGCTGATGACCAAACAAGAAATATGCTATTGTCACCTAAAAAAATCACTATTCGACAATCCCAATCCACTGAGAAAACTGCAAAACAATATATATAACCTGATACTAGTACCCCAAATTCCATTTTTACAGATTACTGCGCCTCAATCAACTTTAGGCATAACACACGTCAGGTAAGTTTTAACAAAAGCCCAATGGTAAGCCGAAGAAAATAAAAAAAAACCCTGCACTGTCCAGCTACCAACATGATGACCACTAACTTGAATAAGGAAATAAAAGACGACACATATTTTAAAAAAATGAAAATAATATTTATGAATTTTGTACGCGAAACGCTTTCGATAGGTGATATTGGCAATGTACTTTCGTGCTTCATCTATAAGGGTGTAGGCGCTATGTTTTTCAGTGATTACATTTATATAAGAAAACAGGATTCATTTTGATGAACGACTTTATAAATTGGCTCTAATCAAAAATAAAGAAACCACGTCGTAAGCATATTCATCGGAGTGCGGGAGGTGGTGTCTTCGAACTTCGGCCGATCAAACCACACGAATTCTGTCATATCAACCAAACTCACTATCCAAATCAATTTAAGCTGTGACTGCATGCTTTACTTATATCATGTTTTTAGCGAACACATCGCAAATATGTAGGACATTTTTCTATCAGCTTTATGGTGATAAAATCTTGTTAAGTAATATTGTGATTGTACACCATGTACCTGAGTGGTGAATATGAAATTGATTCAACACGTATTTTGGTCCTTTAGTTTAGGTCCCCGTGTCTGTTCTCGTCCTTTGGTTTTTGAAAGATGCAATATCTACTTGGCAAATATACTATATTTCCAAACTTTGATATTTGCATTCTGACTGTCATTTAAATAGAATGAGAAGGAACCATCCACTCACTATGCTTTGAATTTGGAATAGATTTTGTAATGCAAAACGAATATAAGACTTTCGTAAAATTTTAATGTTTTACTAAAAGTGTAAATGAGTTATTTTACAATTAAATGCCAATTTATTTTTGTCATATTTCAAGCCAACTTTCATGTAATCTAATATTTCCCAGAACTTATTTAGAGAAGAACGAAGATCAAACGTTTGGACATTTTAAGGAAAATTAAAATAATCTTTCGTAAAATTTCATTACATTACAGTACATTAAACAACATTATCGATTTCAGGATATTCGTTCAGGACATTGGTAGCGCTATCATGCTTCATTCGTGATTAAAAGTTAGAAGCTATTATTCAGTTATCATTCTTGAGCCACTAAATTGCTTTTCTGTTATGCTCGAGGTGGCTGTTATAAACCTGACAAAGTCGAGAATATATTGCTTAGAAAGATGCAAATTCTGTGTGACATCATGAAAAATCTTTGAGGAAGTAAAATTAAATAACAATAAATGTCCTTAACTTCAAGTTAAATTCTAAATACTCTTTTTTCCACATTTATTTGGCTTGTTATTGAGAAATGTCATATAAATATCCTTAAGAACCTGACTTAGTACAAGCACTTTCATATCGAAGAGATGGATAGGTCTGTCCTTAAGCAAAGTCATATGGTTCATAGGTAAGATCGTGGAAGTAATATAATATTTCCATGGTAAGGTTCACCTCCCAATAAACATGTGACTAGGTGTACGAATAAAACTTCAATGTCTCAGTTCCGCTCGAACACTACACTTGGATACTTTAGGATCTGCTTACTCTTCCATAGCACCTGAATTCACCCTAGGTTTTTGGTGAGGTTTGTGTTGCTCCGTCTTTAATTTTCTATGTTGTGTTTTGTATATATTGTTGTTTGTCTTTTTGTCTTTTATTTTTTTTAGCCATGACGTTGGTAGTTTATTTTCGACTTATGAGTTTGAATATCCCTTTGATATCTTTAGCCTTTCTTTTTCTGATATCTAACCTCAATTTGCACTACAAATAGTATAAATGATTTTAAACAGGAGTAACACAAGGGATGCCACTAGTGGAACAGGGTCTGCTGTCCCTACGAAGCACCAGTTTGTTGTCTGTCTTTTCGTCGTTTACCTGTTTATCCCAGGTGTTTTTATGTTTTATCAAACATATGTTTTTTTATTGTCCCTTGGCATTTTTAATGTCTTTTTGAAAGTAAAGTTTTTTTTGTATTGACGCTGACAGTACACAATCAATGTATTTATAAAACACAACATCTCCAGAAGTCAATTCAGACAAATCCACTAGTAGGAGCAGCTAAGTTCAGATCCTGGTTCCCGGTAGTTTTGGATAAAGCGACATATTATAATTCGTGCAAGATAATCTGTTTAAGACGAACGTAATTTTTCTTTAAGATTTCTAAGGTTTAAAACCTAAAATAGCACGTTCTAAAGGTGCGTCCGATGGATTTATCTTCATCAGGAACGCTAAATTGCGAAACCTTGAAAGCCAGGGATGTATAAATACTTAAACAGGGATGTATAAATACTGAAACAGGGATATATAAATACTTAAACTGGGATGTATAAATACTTAAATACGTGAGGAGCTATATGTACAAAAGGGACCTTTAAATGAATAGCCAACTTTGACTGAGTGAGTTTGGACCTTGGTTCTATATACCAGAACATTAACAACTGAGCTGATGACACCGTGGAGACTAGAAGTCCACCATTTTACCTAAGAATATTTTGCTTTAGAATTATAGTATCAATTTTATTTTGTATTCCGAGAAGTAGCTAGCTAAATTTTTTTCGCAATATTCTCGCATTTCGAACTGTAATTTCGCGGTCATTGATATTTCAAGCAAGGGTATAGATAGTGTATATGTCGTACGGCGTTATGTATAAATTGTATACTTAACAAGCTTGCAAACCTCCCACACAAGTGTAAATAGACCTAAGACGGTTTTGGATGTCCCGTTTAGGCTAATTGGTTTGATGCTGAAAAACGTGTCGTGTTCTTAACTCCCAAAACTTTTGCTCTCGAGCGTTCAATATAAAAAAAAAAAATATCCGGAAACACGACTGCGAGTCGTCTACAGTGAACGTTTAAGTATTACAATTTTGAATATTTCTTATTTTTTGTGCGGATATGTAACCAACTAAACTGATAAATATGAAATGTCAATTTTCAACATATTAATTGTATCTAACTGTACAAAAAAGGATTTCGAAATTGGATAAAAATCACTTGTGTGTATATAAGCAGAGTATTCAATCACTGGATAATTTTATTTAATATTGTTTACTAAGGAACGAAACGTGTTTCATATTGTTGTGCAAAACAGCAATCTTCCCATGCGCAATTTATCTGAAAACACTTCTAATCACTTGGAGAGATTTTGAATGACATGGCTTTTAGCTTTCACGCGATGTCAAAGTGAATTTGACATTTAATTCCAATACCAAGCTGCAGGAAGAAATTAAATTCTGTTAAAAAGGAAAATTGTTGTGAAAAATGTATAAATTAATCATACTGTGTAATTTCACATCAATTCAACATCAATATAGGATGTTGTAACTTTGGCAGAATCACCAAAAAATTGCAAATAAAGTTCACCGATGATTGTCACAGAAGGAAAGGTCAATTTCTACCAGTAATATAAAAATAAGGAGATGAGGTATGATTGCTAATGAGACAACTAGCCACCAAAGTTCAAATAAAGTGGATGTAAGCAATTATAGGCAACCGTACGGCCTTCAACAATGAGAAAAACCAATACCGTATAGTCGGATATAAAAGGCCCCGACATGAAACAATTCAATTAAGAAAACTAACGGTCTAATTTATAACAAAACAATTAACGAAAAACAAATATGGCAGACATGAACCAACTCGGACAACCATTGAACTACAGGCTCCTGACTTGGGACAGGCACATAAAGAATGTGGCGGGGTTAATAATGAAAAAATTATGCTTATAAAAATAATTTTTAAAAGTATTAGAAAAATACCTGATCAGATTTTGTTATTTTATGCTTTATAATATGTTACAAACAACGTTATATTACCACGTCTGCTAAACGCTCCACGAAACCTCTTTCCAGTTTATCAACATCTATCTTTTAACCAATCAAAACTGCACTTCAAAGTACTGTTACTGTGTGGATAACTACCTACTCTAGGGGCGTTGTGAATCAGATGTAGATACTGAAAAAAATCCAAAATCTGCATCGGACTTCTTCATCCTATACATTCATCATGTTTAACTTTAAGACAGATTGAATTAATTAGTTCAACTTTATATCATAAAAAACACCTTCCCATTGTTGATACAAATATCTTGTTTTTGAAAGAATGAACCATACATTGTTGAAATTAAAACCACTCCGGTTCAAGCACATAACTATCTGAAACTGACATAAACAAGACGCTTTATTTACTTGTATGGACAATAAATTTGCTACGTTTGTTGGACGTGTTTTTCAACAGACAATCGGCATTTCTATGGGAACTACTGTGCTCAACTTCTATTCGGCTTGTTCCCTTACTCATAAGAAGCAGACTTCATATAGGAATTTCTCATGAAGTATCAAAAGAAGCTAGCATAATACTTTATTTTTACGTTCCGCTATATATAGATGATTTCCTCTCAGGTAAATAAGCACATGAGGTAATAAACTCTAACCACCTCACTATATTGTATAAAGATCAATATCTGGAGTGAGTAGAAGCAGTGTATTTATGTATGAACACGAACTTCAACAGCTACTTTACTAAGTTGTACGAATTCTATTCAATAATTTTGGTTACAAAAAAGAGTTACCAAGGGCACATTCAAAACTCATATATTGCTCAATTTAACCTTAAAACACAAACAATAAAATGAAACAAATCAAACGTATATTTTTGTTTTATCTCTTAGAGAATTTTATAAATGGTTAAGATATATCAATCATTAAGTATGTAAAATACACTGATGTGTCATTGGGTTACTGTCTCATTGACGTATATTCCACATATTATATTCAGACATGCTATACGCGATGGTCTGTC